AATCATGCTGGGCACTAGGGGTGGTCACCTCCTCCACCTCATTTTATGGATGAAGACATGGAGGCCCAGGGATGGGCATTAAGCCATACTGGAGTAGCGCATTTAGTAGGCAGTGTATCCTGACCCCTAAAGCCTTTCTCCTCTATTCCTGCAGAGGGGCACATCCCTCCCCCAAGTCTGGCCTCTCTCTCCTCCTTTCAGGCCCCTCTCCCACCACCTTCCTACGGACAACCAGGGCTTCAGCCCTTCTAATTCCACTTCCACTTTTCCAAAAGGGATGTTTTCTCTGGCCTCCAGGACATTGCTCATGCTGTTCCCTCTGCCTGGAATGCCCTTCCCTTTCCCCTTCTCTACCCCTGGACAATGCAGCTTTTCCTTCGACTGTAATGGCTTGAGTCCCCTGGGTTGGGTGCTGTTCCTTCTCCTCCTCCTCAATGCTCCCTTTGCTTCCCCTGTACCCTCCTTAGGGCCTGTGGTCGAGCTGGGTTATTGGTTTGTTTCTCTGCCAGTGGCCTGGTCAGGGTGGCTAGGTGGCTCTAGCATGGAGCACAGTGCTTAGCCAGGAATGTACCAGCCCCCAGCCCAACCCAGACCCACCTCCTCTCCCTGCGTCCTCAGGAGCTGGATATGAGTGACTTTGAGGAGCAGTTCAAGACTAAGTCCCAAGGTCCCGGCCTGGACCTTAGCGCTCTCAAGAGTAGGGCAACCCAGAAGGCCCCCACCAAGGCCGTACTCATTGAGGCCAACCGGGCTAAGAATCTGGCCATCACCCTGCGCAAGGGCAACCTGGGGGCTGACCGCATCTGCCAGGCCATCGAGACGTGAGTACCTCTGCTCTGGGCTATGGGCAGCCCAGCCTCTCTACTCAGCCAGGGTCATTAGGTAGATCTTAGTAAAAGAGCCCTAACTGTGGGACAGAGCCTACAAAGCTTCATACCAACTCCGGTCAGGAAGTAGGGCAGGGAACCTTGTTCCCGTTTTCAGGCTGAGAAACTGAAGCCATACCCTGAGTTTATGCCAAGACTGAGATGTTCCCATTCCCTCTCTGCCTCCTTACTCAGCTATGGGCACTCGGGCTCAGGCATTTACAGCTGGGCATCTGCCACTGATGTATGATGGGGACCCCAGGCTTCTTAGTTGCTAACTTTCTTTGACTCCTACCTCTCGTTCCCTTAAGCTGTTGGCAAATAGCAAATACCGAAGTCCATTTATTCAATCAGGGAAAGGGAGGGGCTAGTCCTGCTCTCAAGAACTAATGGGTATGGAGCGATACCTACCCCTCTGCTTCCAGGTATGACCTCCAGGCCCTTGGCCTGGACTTCCTGGAGCTGCTGACCCGCTTCCTTCCCACGGAGTATGAACGCAGCCTCATCGCCCGCTTCGAGAAGGAGCAGCGGCCGATGGAGGAGCTGTCGGAGGAGGACCGCTTCATGCTGCGCTTCAGCCGCATCCCTCGCCTGCCAGAGCGCATGGCCACGCTCACCTTCCTGGGCAACTTCCCGGATACTGTCCAGCTGCTCATGCCGGTGTGGGCGGGGCAGGCAGGGCATTGTGGGTGCCTCTTGGGTTGGGGTGGGGGAGGAGGTCCCTCTCAGCCTGCGCTCTAAGAGGGCATTTGGGGGTGCTTGTGTCTCCTGTGGGCTTGCCCTCTCCCCACCCCAACTTACCTTGCCTCCCCTATCTCACCCCCAGCAACTGAATGCCGTCATTGCAGCCTCAATGTCCATCAAGTCCTCTGACAAACTCCGGCAGATCCTAGAGGTGAGAGCCCAGGGCAAGGGTCTGGGACGTAGGGTCTACCCTTGCTTGATTCATTGCCTTTTCTGAGCCAGCGAGGAGACCCAGGCCTTGTCTTGCACACCTGGGAGGCAAAAGATATGTTCCCACCTCTCTCATATAGGCTCAGGGTGGGGATGGGGACATGCACGTCAGACCCTGTCTGAGGACTCAGCCCCTCTGGTGGTTACTGCGTGATTAGCAGAACATCCACACCTGCTCAGCAGTCTCAGAGAATCAATGGAAATGGCCGTTAGAAAGGTGGCAGCCCCACAGCCTAGGAGGAGATGTTGGCAGGACAGTTTTGTGTAGGAATAGCAGAGAACAAAATTGGGTATGCCATAGTGTTAGCTGTGCACGTGTGTCAAACATGTACACATGCATGTACATGTGTCATGGACCTGAGACGTCCATGCAGGAGTGCGGTAAGGTCTGAGTGTGGGGCTTGCTCCTTGCCACCTTTTCTTGTACAATTTATACTTCAGGAGGTTTCCTCAGCCCAGCACCCTGCTGAGCTCTCCCCTGCCTCTCCCAGATTGTCCTGGCCTTCGGCAACTACATGAACAGCAGCAAGCGTGGAGCGGCCTATGGCTTCCGGCTCCAGAGTCTGGATGCGGTAAGGGGCAGGAGAAGGGGTCCCCTTCTGCCTGGGGGCCCCCTGGGGGACCCCCGGGGGGTGGGGGAGGGCTGGTGGCCTGTGGCTTACAGCAGGTCCTCATTCAGCTGCTGGAGATGAAATCGACTGACCGCAAGCAGACGCTACTGCACTACCTGGTGAAGGTCATTGCTGAGAAGTATCCACAGCTCACAGGCTTCCACAGCGACCTTCACTTTCTGGACAAGGCAGGCTCAGGTATGAGTGGGAGGTACCCCCTCTTGGGTGAGGGAAGGGGCTCAGCCCTGGGGACTGATATGGGTTGGGAGAAAGTAAAGAGACCACAGACCACAGGATGTGATGGGGCGAGAATGCTGCCTCTCTGATTCCTTGCCTCTCTACTGCCCCGCCCCCCCATTCAGTGTCCCTGGACAGTGTCCTAGGGGATGTGCGCTCCCTACAGCGAGGCCTGGAGTTGACCCAGCGGGAGTTTGTGCGGCAGGACGACTGCCTGGTGCTCAAGGAGTTCCTGAGGGCCAACTCGCCCACTATGGATAAGCTGCTAGCAGACAGCAAGACCGCTCAGGTGGGCTGGGTCTGGCCCAACCCCGGAGGTGGGGAGGGTGGGGTGGCGTATGAAGGGCTACCTAGGTGGGGTTGAATAGCCAAGGCCTAGAGGGACATGGCTCCAGCAGGGCCACCTTGGGGGATGGAGGAGGAGTGAGGGGCAGAGTGAAGGAGTGAGGGGAGGGAGGAGGTGATGAAGTGGCTGGTGTCTTAACGGGGGGTTACAGAGCTGTGGTCAGGCTCCAAGGGGTCCATGCCGATGGAGCTGACAGGCTGTGCCCGCAGGAGGCCTACGAGTCCGTGGTGGAGTACTTCGGAGAGAACTCCAAGACCACGTCGCCCTCCATGTTCTTTTCCCTCTTTAGCCGCTTCATCAAGGCCTACAAGGTATGTTTCTGGTGGGCAGGCTGGGACCACTGCAGCCTCTCCACTTGGGTGGTGGGAGGGGCAGGGGCTGCTTCTGTCTGAGGAGCAGGTTAGGTGAGAGCGGTTTTTGTTCATGGAGACCCATCTTGGCCCCTCAGAAAGCTGAGCAGGAGGTGGAACAGTGGAAGAAAGAAGCAGCTGCCCAGGAGGCAGGCGCCGACATGCCGGGCAGAGGGGAGCCCCCAGCACCCAAGGTAGGCTGTTGCCGCCTCTGAATTTGGTCCTGGGAGGTAGGTGGACCCTACCTCCCAGACCCTTGTTCTGGGCACCTCATCCCAAAGATCTGGCCCTCCTCCACACTTTTTACTAACAGACCCTGCCCAAGGCGAGGACAGCGTTCCAGTAGCCTGATATGGGAATGGGTTCCTTCTACTCAAGCCAGCAGTGGGGGCTTGCTGTGGGGGACCAGACAGATGGAGTTTGGTGGTGTGGGGGAGGGGATCCCAGAGCTGGAGCTGCATACCCTTCCCCTCCTCCTAGTCCCCACCCAAGATTCGTCGGCAGCAGATGGACCTCATCTCTGAGCTGAAACGGAAGCAGCAGAAGGAGCCACTCATCTATGAGAGTGACCGTGACGGGGCCATTGAAGATATCATCACAGGTGAGGGCTTGGCCAGGCCTGTCCTGTCCTCAGTCTGTCCTTCTGTGCTGTCCTTCATCCACGCTGCCTCCTCCCTGGGGGATCTGGCTGCCTCACGGCCTCTGCTACTTTTTCTGTCTTTTTTTTTTCTTTTTCCCTTCTCTCTCCCCTCCTCCGTCCCAACCCTCAGTGCTCAAGACGGTGCCCTTCACGGCCCGCACCGGCAAGCGGACATCCAGGCTCCTCTGTGAGGCCAGCCTGGGAGAGGAGATCCCCCTATAGCCCCCAGGTACCCAGATGGTCTGGTGTCTGATCCCAGTGGTTGCTCACGGCCCTGGGGAACCTTGGGGGACTAAGTCTTGCTTGCCCTCCCCTGGGCCGTGCATGCTGGGATGTGTTTGAGAGGGTCTGGTAAACATAAACAGGCCCCCCGCTCCATGCGTACAACCTGCATCTCTAGAAGGTGAGGCGTGTGCCTTGGAGTGGTGGTCTCAGCCCTAGGCAGACTCCTGAAGCGTAAATGTGTCTTCTCTGCTAGATCTGCGGAACCAGCCCTACATTCGTTCAGACACAGGCCGCCGCAGCGCTCGCCGGCGCCCCCTGGGGCCCCCCGTGCAGGTCACCTCTGATCTCTCTCTGTAGCCTCCATTTCTGCAGATAGACTGTGGGGCAGGGGCAGGGGCAAGCTGGGGCTCAAGGAAGGTGGTGAATACCCTCAGCTCGGCTGGGCCGGGCAGCCCCCTCTGCTGCTGTCTCCCACTGTGGGCCCACTTCAAATGGGCAGGCACAGCCTCATCTTGCCATAGGGGGCAGTATTGCCGGCCCCTCCCTCCAAATGCTGCTTGCAGCATCCCTTGCCCCCCAATAGCCATACTGTATTTAGCCTCAGTGGGAGCCTGGCCGGTAACTTATAAAGTGCAACCTCGCCCCATCCCCAACTCCAGGGACTCTCCATGGACCTTATTTTTATACAAGATTAATAAAGATGTTTGCAAAAGATCTGCGTCCGCTCCGTGCCCTCCACTACACCGCAGCCGGTTTCACTCAGCACATGATTTACTTGTACAAGTTCTTCTTCGCAGGCCCTTGCAAACAGATTGGCGAAGGGGAGAAGGGCTGCTTTTGCACTAGAGTTGGCGGAGAGGAAGCCAGCTTCCAGGGGCTTATATTCTCTAGTGGCTGATCCACGAATCCTGCCGGAGAGTGGAGGAAACGGGTGAAAGGTCCAGTGCACCGTTAGGGTTAGAGACGCTGGATTAGCTACAGTCAGTCCGCCTCTGTGCCAGCCCATTCCTTAGTCCCTTATACGCCAGCCCCACCTCCTACCTGGGTACCATGCCCTATCCTTAGGTCTGTGAGTGATCTCAGATCACATCTTGGCCTGTCCCGCCTCCATCTCCGCCGGCCCTGTCCCCATTTCGTGGAGTCCTGCTCCCACTCTTCGCCTGCCCCTCCCATCCCCACTTGTGACATCCCCTGTGTCTGTCGGGTTCCTATTCTCGCGTCCCACCCCTCGCATGGCCGCCCCTTATCTGCATGGCCCGCCCCCGTGCACTGGCCACACCTCCTTCCCCAGCTTTCACCTTGGCTGCGCATCTTCTGATTGGGTTTGGGGTGGCTGGGGCGGTAGGGGCGGTAGGGGCGGTAGAACTTGGAAAGTCGGACTTCAGAGCATGGCACCGGATTACGCGTCTTGTGTTCTGGCAGCGTCTGCTCGGCCAGATTAGGTATCTGAGAGTAGGGGCTGGGCACACCTGGTGTGGGGAAGCCCGTCGGAGGAAAAGGAGGGGGCCAGTTCTGAGAGTTGGTCCCGAGTGAAAGTCCCCCTTCCCGCAGTCCCCACCCCCAAAAAGGGGCGCACCCGTTTTGTGCAATCTGTTTAGCGAGCGCACCAGCTGGGTGCTGGTGAGGCCGCTGAGGCGTGTGGCCTGGCAGAAGAAGGTGAGGCCCACTCGAGCCCTGGCGGAGTGGTCCTGGCCGCGGGACCAGCTTTTGCAGCTTGAGTTCAGCCGCAGAGCCCGCTGCTTCTTGGAGTAGTAGCTTGAAAAAGAAAAGTGGGGCAGGGGCCTCAGACACTGCTTCCCCCAGCCCTCTCCGTCTCACAGGCGGGAAACCAAAGCAGGACAAGAAGCCACTTGTCTCTGGCCTGGGGTGAGTGCGGGCCTATTTCTGGGGCAGGCACATCAGGGGACCCCCACACAAGACAGAGTCTCCTCTCCTTATTCTGGGTCCTAAGGCTGGATACATAGAGTTGTGCCCACCTCATCACCTCCTGCGTTGACTTGTAGGGCACAAAGCCCAGCCTCATCAGCTTGAACAGCATCTCGAAGAACAGGGTCTGCAGGCGCTGCTGGTCACAGCCCTGGCTATTCCTCACCTGGCCTGGTATCAACACAGGAGGGTAAGGAGGAGCTTCCCCAGGCCAGCCCCATCTTGCCCCTCCAGCCTTGCCACTCACTCAAGCACTGAGCCAAGCGGTGGCTGTCGGTGAGGACACCCAGGAAGTCTTTGAAGCTTACGGTTCTATCACCTGGGATGAGAGAGGAGGGGGTGCTGTGGGTGCCTACCCCTGCGGAAGGCCTACCCTGCACAACCATCAGGGGCTTGCCAGAAGTTCCAGGCATTCAAGAAGTCAGTCCTGCCTCTAGCTGAGTGTCGACCCTGGTTGAGTTGGGGAGAAATAGCCCTTGGCCCGGGGGAGCCCCAAGTCAGAATGCGGATCAACATGGCAGAAATGTTTAGGGGCTACGGGATAGGGATGTTGATCAGGGCAGGCTTCCTGGAAGAGGGAACTTTAAATTAAGACCAGGCCAGGGATTCTGTGGTCAAGGGAGGTGTTCTCTGGGGCTAGAGGTGGGAGAGAACAAGAAGGCAGAGATGAGGACACCTACCATCCAAGTCTGCCTGCTGCAGAGCCTCACACATCTCCCGTGGGCTCAGTTGGATACCCACGTTGCTTAGGGCAGCTTTCATGCTGCGCATGTCCACAGTGCCTGTTGGGCTGGAGCTGAACAGTTTGAAGATATCCTGGAACGCTGGGGGCAGGGAAGAGAGCCAGCAGCAAAGTGAACTGCACCCACAGGAACTCTGACATCTGCCCGCTTTAGATCAGATGGGGCTGAGGACTTGAGTCACTCCAACTCCCCAGGCATTATAACTTTTAATATAAACAACAGGGGCTGCTGTGTGTTGGCACTTAAGTGCCCATTCAATTCTCATGTCCCAAACTCATGTTTAGGCATGTTTATATGAAAAACATTTGAAACTCATGTCCAAGGTCACAACACTAGTAGGGGTAATGCTGAGCTTTGGACTCCCCGAGTCTGGCTCTGGAACTACAATAGTTTGAGGCTACAGGCACCTGGTATGTAGCAGGCACTGAAAATATTGATTGATGAAATGATTCTGCTTTAAGGGACCTCTGCTAATATCATAGCATGATTTTTGGGGGATTCTGGGGTCCCCAAATGTTGAAAAGTTTTCTTCTACCCCAATCCACAGCCCCAGGCCCCAAGGGGGCAGGGAACTCAGATTCTTTGTTTCCATCATTTCTCCCAATTTCCCTCCTCTCTCCCTTCTTCTATCCTGTTCATCCATCTATCCATTCACCATCCAAATATCTTTTTATCCACTAATCCATTCTTCCTTCCTTCCACACACACACACACACCCATCCACCCATCCACCAATGAACCCTGGGGTTGTAGAGATGAACAAATCAGACTGGCATGGAGGGAAGGTTACAATACAATCACTGCTTCTGCTTCTCACAGTGACTTCGGCCTCTGGACAGGCGACCCCTTGTAGTTCTGCCCTGAGCACCTCCTAATTTTCCTCCCTGCTCCCAGCTGCAGGGCCCTCACCTGCCAGCTGCCGGGGCGTCAGGAGTAGCATGTTCTCGTCTGCAAAGCTGCCTCGGGGAAAGAGGTTGGAAAGGCCTTTACACCTGCTGCAGAGAGATGCCAGGGCCAGGCAGGCCTTGCCCCAAACCCAGCGCCCTAGGCCTGGCGGCCTGTCCCTGCCCTCACCTCTGGGGCCCAGCACCTGGGCCTGACTGCACTGAACGAGTAGCCACAAAGCCCTTGAACTCCTTGGCCTTTGGTGAGGTCTGCTCAACCCCTGTGGCCGTGGCCGCTCCTGGCTCTGCCTGGGTCAGCGGGGCAGTGTGCTGCTGCAGCCTCCCCTTCTGCGTCCTGTCGCCCTTCCCCTCTTCTGGATCTCGAGTGAGCTGTCTTTTAGGCTTCTGCGGAGGCCTTGGAGGTGGGGAGAAGACACTCCCCACTTGAGTGTTGAGACTGCAGGGGGCCCAGGACTAGACCTGTGGGCACACAGCTCCACCTCCTCCCAGGACCCCCATGCCAATCTGCACCCACAGTCCTATATCCAGGGGATTCTGGGCACAGTAGCTTGTGGTAGTAGTGGCCCCTCCTCCAGCCCTGGTCACCTGTATGTTCTCTGTGCTGCCAGGGGTCTCTTGGTCTTCCGCCCTCTGCTGCCTGAAAGGCAGAGTCACAGGCTCTGAGGATGGTCCAGTACCCCAGGCCGAAGCTCCCAGGCTGGCTTTAGGATGGATTTTAAGGTCTTTTGGCAGGGGTGCACGCTCTCCCTCACCACAGGCCTGTTTTTCTCTCCTGGGGGAACTGCTGCTTTATTCTTTTGAGTTTCTGCCTCCTTTAAGGCACCCGAATTTGTGGCTCCACTCTGGAAGCTCACACAGGAGGCAGAAGCCCAGGGGAAAAAGAAGCAAGCCTAGAGTCCTGAAGTCAGAGCATGTGAGGTTGGGGGCCAGTCCAAGGTGGCCCTGTGACTATCTTACCCCAGCTTCCCTGGGAAGGATCCCCTTTTCCAAACAATGCAAATCCACAAACCACATTAAAAAAAAAAATACTCTAGGAAGATGCATCCCAACAGCTGAATGATACCTTTGGCCCAGCCTCTCTCCAGATACCTCTGCATCTCCTCCTCTTCCCTCCTTCCAGCCTCCTGCCCCCTTCTCCTCTGGCCCTCAGCCCATTCTTAAGTGCTCACCTCTTCTTAATCCAACTTTCCTAGACCTTGAGCACCTCTTTGCCGGCCCCCTCTCAAGGCAGGGCAGGCTCTTGAGGATCTGCAAGGCTGGGCTTTCACTTGACAGGGAGCCTTGGCCCGGAGCAGGTCTTAAAGCCCATCAGGGACTAAGCCATGGCTCTGCTTCCCCCTTTTCTCTCTCCCCGACTTCCTTCTTCATTACCATGTCCATCCCCACACTCAGAATTCCCTTCCCTCCTTTGCTGCCCTCCCTTCTCTCCCAGAGCCTTCCTCACATTGCCCGTCTTCTCCTGATATGGGAAACTTTGTGCAACTTGTGTGCCCGTTTAGTACACATTTGTATTGATGTGTGTGTATACATGATGTGTGTGGAGCATACTTCTGTCTATGTGTGGATGTGTTATATGTGCCTGTCTGTGCGATATGCTGCTGGTCAGCTGATGATGTGTGTGTGTATGTGTGTGTGTGTCTGGATTGCGTGCACTATTACACATGGTTCTCCCCTACATTTTGAGGTACCTCTAACTCAAGTCTATGGGCCCCTGGAGGGCCAGTCCTCTGGCTTTCTTCCTCCCAGCCCCTGGACACCGTTCCTTCCCCACACCAGGCCTTCCTCATGGAGAGAAGCAGGAAGAACGCCCTTCAGACTTGCCTTCTTGCTTGCCCAGCCCCACCCCTGGGAGGCTCTCTCCTCAGATGATCTCAACCTGTTCCTGGCTTCAGGCCAAGACGACGACCCATTTCAGGATCTAAGAAACTAAAGCCTCAGAAAGGGCACTGAGGCCTCCCCAAGACTCCTCAGAGGCCTAGATAGGTGTGAGTGAAGTGGAACTACCCGTGGGGAGTGAGCGAGGACAAACAGGGCTGGTAAAGCCCTCAGGGAGCAGGGGGCACTGGGGTAGCTAAAAAATGAGGGGGACATCCCTAAAAAATTGAGACCAGGACTTCGTAGCCAGGTGAGCTCACTGGTCTGGGAGTGTCTGCACAAAAAGTCTGAGCCAGGGGCCAGCACTGGAGGCTTTACTGGTTTTGTTTAGTCATCTCTCTGGGGGAAGAAGGGGACGACAGCTTAAAATGGATTTTCAGCAATAATGGACTCCCTTTCTTGGCTCCCGGCACCGGCACCGAGCTGCAACGCAAAAGAGAGAGTGTCACTTGGGTCCTGGTGGGAAGGGTGGGGGAGAGGAATGCACCCAGAGGCCTTTCCAAGGAGGGCACTGGGGTTAGAGGGCCTAGCCCAGCTGCACGCTGATGAGCAGCTGACATTCTTTTGTGTTCATTCATCACCAAGAAGAAGGGATGCTGGAGAACCCTGTTCCCTCATTTGCCACTCAGTGGAAGTGTCCTGGGCCCTGGGCTGGGGCCATCAGGGTCTCAGCAGAGCAGATACTAGCCTAAGTTTTTCTGTGGGGGAGGGGCCATCTGCCTGTGGGTGAGAAGCTTCCTAATGCTAGAATGGCCCTTCCCATTTTGAACTCCAGTCTCTGCTGGAGCCCTGGAGCGCTCACCCTCCATGGTCACTAGGCCTTCTCCTGCCCTGGCCTTGGCACTGCACCTCAGTCCACTGGAACCTTGTTTCCAGCAGCCTTTATGAGGTCACTGAGGTTAAGACGTCACAGCCCACCCCATCCCCCACCCAAGCCCCTCATTCCGCTGTTCCCCACTCCCACCCGACTGTGTGAGGAGTGGGCCCGCCCACACAGCCTAGCACAGCCTCCTCTTGGGAGAAGCTGTGCACCATCCTCACTTTTTCTCATCTCCTTGCTGCGGAGGGGACACAGCTGGAGACTGGAGCAACTTCAATTGCCCTTGAATGGTGGTCTTCTGGATTCCTGGCTTCCTATAGTCAAAGAAATTCTTGTGTTCCAGCTTCTGAGCTCTGTGTGGCTCCTCGGCTTCCAGTGGTTTCTCTGGTGACTCCTTTGGCAACTCAGAAAGCTTCTCCTGCTCTGGCTTGTCCTTAGCAGGCTGGGAGGCATCCTCTACCATGGGCTCTGTAGAAGGCTCCATGGCCTTCTGGGGCGGAGTTTTTATCATGTGCTCCAAACTGGGCAAGTCCATCTTGTTGGAAGAGGCCACGGCTAGGGAAGATGCGAAGTTGATCAAATCTTCCAGGCCGAGAGATGGTTGGAGAGTGGGGGAAGGCGGGGGGGCGCTTGGTGGCTGATCGGAGACTGTGTCTGGAAGATCCGGCTGGATGCTGGGGTTCTGGAGCTGCTCTTTGGAGCACGGGGTGTTCTTGGGGACCGACCCCTGTTTTGGGCGGCTTTTGGTCTTATCTGTGTTCTTCTTGCCAGGCTGCCTGCTGGTTTCCTGTTTCAGGTTGTATTCTGAGGCCTGGATGAACTTGTCTGCCCAGAAGAGGTGCTTGGAGGTCTGCACATGGATAGAGCGTTGGTAGGTGAACTCCTGATCCTCCAGGTCCACTTTCTGTGGGGGCTCCGGCTCTAGCAATTCATTCTC